AAGTTAATAAACCACCTTCAACAAAACCGTCTGAACTGCCAATGTGTACTATTATCAGCCTTCGTCCCTTTCTTGATGGTGGGTTTAAACCAGTAGATAAGTTATTTACAAAAGAGTGCCTTTGACTTGTAACAGTTTCATCCTGCCAAAATTTATTTGGTGTATGACCCTCGTTGATCCATGTTTCATCAAGATAAAATATTTTTCTTTTTTGGTTTCTTATTTCCTTTATGGTTCTTAGAAAATGTCTTCTCCATATGACAATATCGCTTCTTTCTAATAAAATAGACTTTCTGGGATTCTTTTTCCAGCGGAAGCCTATTTCTTTTAAAAGTTTCCATAACGTACTTCGACTCATTTCTGGGTAATCCTTATCATCTTGAACTGAGACAAGAACTTTATCCAATGTTGGAAATTCTTGTCTAAAGAAGAATTCATGCACTTTCCGTCGAAGTCCTTCTTTAAAATGATATTCTATTTGAAATTTTGGTTTCCCTGCAGCATTACGTGGCATTTGAAAACTACCACATTTCTCCTCTTTAATAACTCTGTAAATCGTAGATTTCCCAACACCAAGTGTACTGCTAACTAACTCAACGGTCTCATCAACACTTTCACATAAACGTTTGTCTGTAAATGATTTAAAACAATTAAATATTAATGTTTTTTCATTAACTGTTAAGAATTTTGAATACGCCACTTGGACCTTCCTACAAAATGGAAAAACCCACTATCACATTTTCTGTGGAATAAGTTTAGAAGGTAATTATCTAGTCAATTACTGTCGTAGATTCCTGGAATTAAAGAATTAAATGTTTGATTGTTGAAACCCTTACTTCGTGGAATGCACTCATTTCAGATAAAATAAAACGTTTTATTTTATCTAAAGAATTAAACTTTATTTTGCAAATAGGTAGGTACTTATTAAATTTTTATTGGTTATATATAACCAATAAAATAAACATCTTACATTTCTTGCAAATTCATTAGTACCTGTTAACCTCCATCACTCCGACACTGGCAACCTTATTTAGGGATTAGTAACCCTCACAATTATTGTATTCTATTCTGCTCCAACCTTTATACCTGGTGGTCATACTCAATTTAAAATTGTTTTCCTATATACTTCTGTAAACTTGTTGACAAATATCTGTTTTTCATTGAGTCACCCGTATCAACAGTTTAGGGATTTGCATACATAATTTATTGTTTTATTACTCTCTCATACATAAAAATACACTATAGAATAAACCGTTTTCTCAGAAACAACGTTTGAAGCGACCGGTGATTTTCAATGTCAGCTACGTGCGCGAAATCAATTTTAAATAAAATTTATATCAACTCGGCTGTAAGATTTCAGTTTCTATAGTGTTAAATAAATAAACGTTAAGCGATTTTTACGATTCTCATCAATAAAATTCATCATCTCCATTAACTGGTCCATAACTGGTATATAGACTGAAATTTCGGTTTTGAGTTTTGGCAACAAAGGTGAGGCATTTGAAATATGCCCAAAAAAACGCCGAAGTTAGGTCGTTTCAAAAAACCTCTCTCTCTCTCTCTCTCTTGTCGTTCCCCATTACTGAGGATCGTGATTTCTTGCAATATTCCTAACAATTTTTCTCCATTGGTCTCTATCTTCAACTGCTCTGAGAGCTTCGCAGAATGAGTTTCCAGCGGAATTCTTAATTTGGTCGGACCATCTAGTTGGTGATCGTCCTCTTGATCGTCTTCTCCTCGGAACATTTCCAGAAAAAATTAATCTCTCCAAACTATCGTCACCTCTACCAACCACGTGACCGAAAAATTGCAGAATACGTTGTAGATATATTGTGGACAGCCTTTTTTAATATCGAGTTGGTTTAGAATGGAAAGGTTTGTCCAAGTTATGAGTAGCATTCTTCTCCAGCACCACATATCAAAGGCATCAATTTTTTGGCGCTCACGTCCGTGAATAGTCCAAGTCTCTGCCGTGTATAGAAATATTGAGAATACAATGGCATTCACCAGCCTCATCTTGATATTTTAAGTGATAGATCTATCTTTCCAATAGGTAGCTCATCGCATTTTTGCTATACTAATACGTCTCTAAACTTCGGCTTCAACTTTATTGCTTTAGTACATAACTCTTTGCAGGAGATTAAACATTTTTTGCTTATTTGCTGCTATATTTGTAGTGTCATCAACAAATCTTAAATTGCAGACTTTTCTACCAGCCACTGTTACTCCACCGGCCCATCCATCTAAAGCCATCCTCATAACATGTTCACTATAAATGTTGAATGAGTCAGGTGAGAATAGGCTTCCTTGTCTAACACCTCTCTCGGTATTGAATTGGTTTGAGAACTTCTGATCTAGTCGTACTGTTGCTATATTGGACTGGTTTCATCAGGTTCGTTGGTGTGCCTATTTCTATTAAAATGGACCAAACTTATCCAGCTTACACAATCAAATGCTTTTTGGTAGTCAACGAAGCATATATTCATAGGTACTTGAAATTCTCTAGACTTTTTAATGAGTTGTCTCAGGTTCAGAATTTGTTCCCATGTACCTTTACCCTTTACAAACCCTGCTTGTTCCTATAATACAACAAAGAACAATAAATGATTATAGATATGGCAATCAAAGGTAAATGGATAAATAAAATAATAAAATAGTGTTCCAAAGGGCGAAGAAAGTCCTTCCCTATGGAGGGAGTTTTAGGGAGAAGCCGAGGGGTAAAAGTGGTAAACTTATTTGCATCTGTTTTAGAGTCACCAAATTGACATTCTCAGCAAAATTCAGCTTGTTCGTATAAGTTTTAGAGGTTCGGTGGCATTTTCGTCTCTGACGACTGGAGTATTTCTTTTAAAACTTATATTAATTTTAAAATTTTTTAATATTAAGCAATACTATATCCATATACGTATAAACACAGATGAACTCAGTTATTTACATAAAATTGTGAAGTCAAAATTATTTGGATAGGTCACATTCTCAGCACCTTCAGCTGTCACGTTTTGTTTTAAAATTTCTTATTCGCGAAAATATTACTCCGTATTTTATACTCTACAGGTGCTATCAAACCAAAATAATAATTTATTGTTTAGATTAATATATTTAATTGTAATCAAAATATAAAGTGTGCACATAGTGTGCATTATCATTTAATAATAACGTATAATTTAGATATCAATCAATTATTTTATATGTAGAAGCACTGAAAACTATTTTATAAATGGCAACGGTTGTTTACATTTCTCTGTCTTATGGATCTACGTCAAACTTCAAATGCTGTTCCATGTTTGTTTACTTTTTAGTAAGTTGTTTTTCGATATTTTGGCTGTATTTTGAGTGATATTTGTGAAAAGTGAAATAAAATAAACGAAATATTTACATCCCGATCTCTCATTTCATTTGTAAGTACATAAAATTTACATTATTCCTTCAACAACATTATACCTTCAACAAACATCAAAATTCTGATTTTATATGTTACGTTATTTAAAAAACATAAATGATGTATCCTCTATATGTTACTGACTTACTAATACTGGTATTTTCTTATTAATAACTTCCTCTTTCAATATTGGTAACCAGATCCTACTACATTCTGCCGAGGAATTTGCGACACAATTGGCCTCATTTAGCATAATTAGAGCCGCTTCTTTGATTTTTATTTTTTAATAGTTTTTCTTTTCCCAGTTTAATAGTAATTAATTTACAATGCCACAAGAAAATAGCTTCAAAACAATATTAAGATATAAGTTCATCAGTTAAAAAAGATCTATGTAGTACCATTTTAATTTAATATTTCTCATGGATGCAAATAAATTAGTGAAATGAATAAAACTCATTTATTTTTCTATGTAGGTTTCCAAATAATATTGACGATCGAACTATTTTGGTAGCAAATTTAGGAGAAAACTAAAGATTTTTTATTGTAGCATTATTTTGATACCTATTAAAAATTAACTTGAATTTAACTATATTTTATTGTATTAATTTTAAAGCAAATAAAATTGTATTTTAATTTTTCTATAAAGACGTGATTTGTTAATAGTTAAACTCTCGTTGTTTTTTAATTCTTTGAACGAGTTTTTATACATTATTACTACTTCCAATTTTTAAAATCTGAATAATTACCCGCGAGTAATAATTCAAGCACGCTTATGCTCATTGCGGAAGCATCACATTCTATCGAAGCTTCAAAACATTGTGTGTTAAAGGTATGTTATTGCTGTGTCCATCTATGTTTATACGTCCATGACTATATCGCTTTTGACTCATAATATAGTATGAATCACAAAACATCTGCCAAGACGTTAATAACCATGATGATGATGTTATAGATAATTATTATCTGTAAACATACATTTGTAGTAAAACTTCCTACTTCAAAGTTTGGTAAAAATCCCTTCTTGGTATTACAAGCCTCAAGAGTTTATGATAACGATCTCCATAAATGTTTCATTTCAGACCGGAATTTTCTCTACGGTCGGAAAGTTGGCTTTCTGGTCTCGCTACACATGACGTAAAGGGAAAAACTGAAATTGAGTCAAATAGAAAATATTTGTCCAATTGCAGCAATGCACCGAAACATACTGTTTTATGTATTCATCTTAGTATATACATACATATATATATATATATATATATTATATATATATATATATATATATACATATATATATATATATATATATATATATATATATATATATATATATATATATAATATATATATATATATATATATATATTACATACTTGTATTGCATATTTTAGATTCGAATTTAATAAGTATAAAGAAAAATATTGATTTTTTAATTCAGGTATTATATTTATATATTTCTAGTTAAAGCCTGATCTAACATCAATTGGATAAATGGTAGATTCCTCTAATGGTACAGAAGTGGTACTCTTTGTAGTTCCATCGATATCAGAAAAATTCAATGCACAATTTTTTTTGTTACAATAAATATTAATTGTAAGGTTTAAATTAATTACGATTGGCTGACCTGGAATACATTGTGGTGGTGGAAAATTCCAACTTCCATCATAGCAAAATCTTAACGGACTACCTCTGTCAGCTGATTCATAATATGGAGCACATTCGAATTTGGCGCTAGTGCCATGTGTAGCTTGTTCACATTTTACTTCTCCCTTCTTTTCGTTTTGACAAGTAACATGTGTTGTTTCTGTACTGGAAAGCGGTGGACATAATCCTGAAACAAATAATTAATAATTAGGATAATTCATGTTTTATTTAATTACAGAAAATATATAATTATTAACAGATAGTTAGGTTTAGCATTAAGGACGGAGTCTGTGCCATTTTGATAAGACTAAAAATTCAGCAAAAATTATTTCAGGAAAATATTTCTAACAACAGTATATATGGCTAAAATAGTACTCTGTTTACGGGGCTTAAAATATTTTTAACATATGGACAGTAATATATCCGACAAATAGCACATTGCTGATGTAATTCTATTGTACAAAAAGGAGATCCCCATGAATTAGAAAACTAGAGACCTATAAGTCTTCTTAGTCACCTATACAAACTCCTTACAAGAATAGTAACGAATTGTCTTGAGAAAAAACTTGATTTCTACCAGCCAATAAAGCAAGCGGGATTTCGTCCCGGATTTGGAACAAAGGATCACCTACAGAGCATTAAAACGTAATAGAAAAAACTATCGAATACAATCGACCACTCGTTCTGGCTTTTGTAGATTTACATAAAGTCTTTGACATGGTAGAATTTGACAAAATCTTGAAAGCACTACAAGCATGCCGCATTGACTACCAATATATAAGGTTAATTTACAATACATACAAGCACGCAACTATATATGTGAAACTACATAAAAACGCGGATTATATCCCAATCGGCAGAAGAGCCCAACAGGGTGATACCTTATCGCCTAAACTGTTTACCGCAGTACTAGAATATGCTTGTAAAAAATTTAACTGGGAAAACAAAGGCCTGAAGATTGACGGTAGAAGATTAAAAAATTCGAAATTCGCAGACGACAAAGTTTTGTTTTCGGACAACCTCAAGGAGATGTGTACAATGCTACATGAACGTCAGTTAGTGTGTGCCAGTGTGCGTCTTAAAATAAACATCTCCAAAACAAAATTCATGACAAACCTAGTACCTAGCGGAAATATCAATATTGGAGACAACGAAGTAGATCTAGTGGAAAAATACATATACCTTGGATACGAAATAAAGATCACAAGAGATAACCAAACATGCAAACTATGAAGAACAATAAACCTAGCATGAGCAGCATATGGATAGCTCCAAGACATCTTTAAATGCGATATACCAATTTCTTTAAAACGTAAAACATTTGACCAATGTGTGTTGCCTGTGATGACCTATAGTACCGAAACGTTGATATTGACAGCTACAACTTCTAAAACGCTGCAAATAGTTAAGAGGAAAGTGGAAAGTTCAATGCTGAGTATATCTCTTCGTGACCGAGTTAGAAATGAAGACTTAAGACGAAGAACAGGAGTTCCGATGTAATTTTCCGAATTGCCATACTGAAATGGAACTGGGCCAGACACGTCGCCAGAATCAGTGATGAAAGGTGCACGAAGACATTGCTTCAGTGGAGGCCGAGGTTAGACAAAAGAAGTAAAGGAAGACCTCCTACTTGTTGAACTGACGATCTCAAGAAAATGATAAGAAATTGGAAGAAAAATGCTTAAGATAGAGAACAATCGACAAAAATGAGGGAGGCCAATGTCCAGCAGTGGACGCAAAAGATTGGGTGATGATGGCCATGGTCTAAAATTATTTCCTTCTGACGTTTCGTCAGTTGCAAGAAGGAACGTCATAAAAGATTCCAGACCGTGGTCTATAAATCTTAAAACAATTTACTGTTGTGTTACATGCCCCGAATTGCGGTCCTGCTGTTTGGCAAAGCTGAGAATACTCTTTTCACCTGAATGTTCCACACACCGTTTCTATGGAAGTTCTATATAGTCTAGAAAACAAAAAGGAAATTAGTCATCCAAAATCACGCGTCGTAACTGGTCAAGAATTGCCAACATCACGTGTTAATCATGAGTTCTCGGAATTTTGTATGTTTATGTTTTCTTTCTGGTCACTTTAGGTGGTAATAATAGAATATTTTATTTATGCTTATAATAATAAAAATATTACATTAGATAAATTTTATAAAGTAAGTAAGTTTTCATTTACAATAAAAAAGGCTTCTATAGCATTGCGGATAATTCGCTACCGGATAAGCGGGAGTGGACTATATAGCTAAAGATGTAAAATATTCAAATTAGTACATTATTTTTATTTCAGCAGCATATTCAATTATTTCGTCTATCAATAGAAAGAGTACTAACAAGCGCAGATGCTTGTTTGGTCTATATGTACATAAGGTCTTCTAAAAACATGCCAAAACGTTTTATGTATTTGGAAAAATGTATACATCAAGTCATGCATTACATGAATCATATTGTTAACAATACAATCTCCGCAAACTGATCCTACGTATTCGGCAGTAAACAGAACGAAAGGCAATTCTCAAGGTTCGAAGTTTATTTCTGAGAAAAATTGATTTCTCTTGAGTGTCAAAATAAACGAGTTAGTCTATTTAATAACGGAATTAACCAATGTACTTACATTATATCAAAATGTGTTTAGATGGAAAAATAAAGACACGACAGATGAATCAACAGGCAAATCAGCAGCTAAATTAACGTTTGCTACAACTACGCAAAAAAGCAAATACTTTCATTTTACAAGCGTCAATAAAAAACTAAAAATTTCGCCAAAGGATGAACTGGAACACAAACTAAACTCTTAACTTGCATGGTATGGAACAGGAATAGCAAAACAGCCCAAAAAAAATGAAAAAAAAATTTGTACTTGAGGAATAAAGAATTTTAAATATTTTTGATGCATTGATTTAAAAAATGTCTTCTTTTTGCCATAGGTAGTTTTTTTGGATCGATAGAATAATTTTAACTTCTATCGAAAAGATATACACAAAGGCACCTGGAAATCACCAGACAAACTTACTGTAAATGTGATACCCAAAGAACCCAATCGAATATAATAAACGTCCGTACCAGGAGAGAAGCAAATGCAGATTCTGATCACTACCGGGTCAAGCGTAGGGTAAGCGCTAGACTTTTAAACATAGAAAAGGAATTAGGTTCTAAATATGAACAGTACAATGTATAAGGACTCAAAGAGACAAACAGAAACAGATGATATGAATGAACAAAATATAATAATATATATCAAACTAAAAAACAGACTAAAACATGAAAACATAAATGAAGAGTGGGAAGGGCACAGAAACATCAAGAATAAAGCAACTGAAGAATTAATACACATGTAAAGTAAACAAAAAAGAATAAGAACGACTGACTGGTTTGACGAAGAATGTCATTATAACAGAAAAAAAAACAGAGCACATTTACTGATCCAACTGGGACACAGAACCTGACAAGCAGAGGAGAAATATAAATAACTATGTAATAAAAAAGCAAATATACCGCAGAAAGAAGAGAGAAAATATGAACAGAACTACACGAACTAATTAAGTCAACAGAGACAAGAAAATTTTGCAAAAACTGAACAGAAGCAGAAAAGAATTCAAACAAAAGATGTGAAGAGAGAAAGGGCATAATATATTGACAAAACAGCAGGAAAAAATAAGAAGATGGACAGAACATTTTACGGGAAAGCTTGAGGGAAGCGAACCATGATATACCATTAAACCAAGCAGACAGAGAAAATACACACTATTTTTTAGCTTAAAGTCCTAACTATTTGCGAGAACTTTTCACATTTATACCCTGCTAGTACTAGGTTAATCCATTTTTATTTAATTAAATAATATTTAACAAAAGCAATATATCGTTAAATACAAAGGTACCTGTATACTTCTAACACACAATGAACGTATAACTCTGAGAAAACTAAATATATACTGACGATATACGCATCCTTTCTCCGCTACTTGCACGCTTATTGGTAAAAGTCAGAAGTCAGTCAGAAGTGATCAAGCGCATGAACATTCTAGAATAGATGATCGGTTTATATAAGCCCTCCAAGTCGGCATTACATTAGCTATTAGAAAAGATTGTGATTGAAACTATGGCTGAATTAACGAAAATCTTGAAAAGCCATGACATAATCGTCCACCTTAAAATCAGATGGATAATAAGCTTAGTTTTCTCAGTTTTTCTATATCTTGCTGAATGCTGAATTCTCAAGGAGAAAAACAAAAGGCTAATGTATATAAGCGACATATTTTGTTAACGACGAATATTTAAATTCTCATGGGTAGACCGAATAACGAATTAGTAACTACTAAGGGCCGGTTTCACCAACAACAAATAAATCACTGAATAGTTAATCGTCGAATAAAATTTATTAGTAGAATTAATTTTATTCCGTTTCAATAACTATTTGTAATCCACAGTTAGTTATTCGTCGAATAAGTTCAAAGTGTAATGATTTTCCACAGACTGTACTCGTTGACACCTCTCTTGGCTTCCACCTCTTAGGTGTTTGGCCAGCCACATCGCATTCTTTTTCACTGTAATCATATTCTTCTTCTTTAAGTTCCATCTTCTATCGAAGGTTGGAAATCATCATGGCTATGCGGACTCTGTTGACTGCAGCTCTAAAAAGTTCTGCACTACTGCATTCAAACCATTCCCTTAAGTTCTTAAGCCAGGATATTCTGCCAAGTTCTGTAAATCATTGTTGTTATCCGTAATTATTACTGTATCGTCTGCAAAACGTAAGTTATTCAAAACTTCTCCATTGATAGATATACCTTCTATTGAGTCTGAGAGCGCTTCTTGATGATGATGATGAATGTAATCATATACATAACCTATAATATTTGATATTAGTTGATTAATTTGTCAAAATAATAATAATTGTCAATGCCAATGGTCAATACATATTTGAAACGATCCTGTTGCATAAAAACGAAGAGCAATTAATAATGATTTCGCACATTTATGGGTCTATTTTTGTTGCTTACAGGATGCAATTGGTTACCGATCAAATTTAATAAATGATCTACTGAATTTTTTGATAATCTAAACCTAGTTTTAAAGTCCACATCATCAAATTCAGCAAAAGGGTTTCTTCTTTGCAGCTGCCAGCAGCGTAGTCTTCTCCTTCGCTGCTCATTTCCGTCATCAGAGGATGATGATGATGAAGATA